ATATTTTCCTTACTCTATGTGTTCGAAAGCGCACTATATTCTTTAGAACTTTGAGCAACAAAAAGCTGCGCAAACGGATTAATTAGGTAGGCTTTCCAAGTCGTCATATGACCGGTTTATTTTACCATCTGTCTTAAGACTCAGATACTACTTTAGAGGTGCCTTAGAGTTAGTGTTTTTTTTTCTGAATTAAATCTCTTTCTGACGAACAGCGTTACCAACTGAATGGCACATCGCAGAATCAGATGGACCTCCAAAAACGGGAGCCTATGTTAGTTATTGAGATCGAAAGAGACACAATTTACTACGGTTTCTACAGCCACAAACAACGAATAAGTTCGTGTGAAGTGACAGCTATCTGATGTCATGATCTCCTTTCCGTCTAGTGTTATCGGACTCAGGTTCACACAAAAGCATCGATCACACAGGGGCTCTGTATCTGGTAGAGCCCAAAAGGCACACTCTTTGGACATGCACCTATACACACAAAGATGCAGACGCATATCTGCTAACTGCGATGACCTCACGAATAGCAATTTTCATGCAGGATCTTGTGATTTCGAGGGATTATTTCCATGGAATTGGCGGTCCAAGAAGTTTTAAAGGTTGAGGCAAGTATCTACACGTTTGACACATACAGGCAACTTCAAAATTACAATATATACATTATGTATCGTATTGTACTGTGTCTAACGTTTGCAACTGAAGTCTCACTTGCTGCTAAGCGTGGGACATCATATACAAATGACCAGAAACTCAGGTTACGAATCTTGTGAGAAATAACTGAATGTAATGGTCAGTCTGTTCCTCTGTGGAGGGCCGATGAAGCGGTTTTCACAAACTCTGCGGATGAAAGAACTATCGGGTTACATTTTGATATCATTCTAAAAGAAATACAACAGTGGGATTCGGAACTTAGACTGAAGAACTGTGTTCTCTGTTGAGATTGAACTCTGAAAAAATAAAATGATCTACGCAGGCTCACTCATTTTTGAAAAATCTCCAAAGCATAGTTAATTTAAAACGCGTGAGACAATTTCTTTAGGTTGAGTTTATCTTTCTTCAAAATGTTTATTTTAAACAGTAGACAAAAACCTGCGAAACAATCAGCCTTTTTATTTATTTGACGGTGTCACAGTTAAAAGCATTCATCCAGCGCATAGAGAACCGCCACTGGGAACTAAATGGCATGTGTTCCACCCACACGACTAGTGGGAAATTGTTAAGGTTGCTTCACTCTGTCTTCGTAACACATAAACGCGATTTTCGCTGTTGGCAATCCTGGTTACTTTCTTATTCTGCTCAAAGGCCATGCACTTTCGGTAGACGGGCAAATTCAAAGACAATGTGTCATCAAGTAGCAAATATTTTTTGTCTACAATATCGTCCTCTTCAAGTTTCATGCTGTTGATCAGTGAATAAAAGCACCAACTGGTTGATGTGATGCGTTCACTATGCTTGCCAAATGGCTTTGACTCGATGGGTAATGAAAACGCCTGGTAGAAACTAAGCCTCCAAGGTTTATGAAGATCTATCAGAAGAAACTGTTGCAACCCATTTCTCTTCCCACTTGCACGTGTAATAAAACTATTTAGAGGATTATCGCCGCAAGTGTTGATAAGCCGCAGAAAATTAAGCTTCAAAGCTACATTGAGTTATTGGTAGTATGTTAACGTACCGCATTGCGGTCCGAAGTTAGGGCTCATTTAAACTATACCGTTTACACCTTTCCTGGAGATGTAACTAAATGGTCTCAGCTAGTATATTTCTCTTTATTGGCTCACTAATCTTTGTGGATCTGTTTTACAGCATTACTGTGCCGTTAAATTGGTTTGTGTGTGGTTTGTGCCAGGATGATCATGCAAAAAAATGGCATTTTTGAAACGCTTTCCTAAGGCCGAATAAGCCGAATAACCGATGAACAGTCATTTGTGTAACTCGACTCTGAAATGAGATGTGTACCCTGACATTTTATATTTGTTTATATTTTTTCTCGGTCGTATGAATAACTTTCGTTTGCTGAGAAGGTTTCAGTAGAAGCAAGTTACGAGGATCGACAAGTGCATGCATTGCACTGAAAAACCACTGCTGCTTGGGGAAAGATTTTCACATCTTAATTGATACTTCATGGCAGAGAAAGTAACCATATACAATTGAATAACCTGGAGTGTTATAAGAGGAAATACGAAGAGGGACTCAGTACTCATTCTGTTAATTGACAATGAGGTGCCATTGTCTAACTCCGACTGCCTTACCAAACGTCAACGTCATGTTTTTGACAGTGTTTTAATGATCCTTTGTGTTGTGTTTCACCATATTTTGCATCATTCATAGATATGGAGCAATCATTGATGGAATTATATCTTAAATATGGTCAGTAACTCACGTTTTACTCAATATGCAATACAAGGTTTTCCACAATGCGAAAAGGCTTACTTCAGGCGTATATTTAGACAATTTAAAAAGTTGGTTGATGCTAACCTAACGCAAGTAAGTTACATAATACATCAAATCATCCTGCAGCTCAAATGGATGGATGACAGAAGGCCGAATGAGTAAACTTATCAAGCTAATTCTGTCTTTCATAGTCTAAACTTATCAAGGTACTCAGTATTCCCGGATTTACCCGTTCGCAATGGGAACACGCGTTCAGAAGCGAACAATCGATAGTGATCGACTAATATGTAAACGATATATATATATATATATATATATATATATATCACGATAGGTTCACATGTATCTGACCCATCCTGCCCCTCTCAATCAAATAGGGTGATTCATGATCCACTGGATGGTTACTGTTCACACAAGTAGCTTCAACTATATCGTGTGCTCAATCCAGTAGATGGAACACTGACAATAACTTTTCACCACTGAACGTATGTCCGCACTAGTCTGTTGACCAGAAAACCAGTTGGATCTTAGTAGGCTCACAAACAACCGCGTGCGTAAATGCATGGCAATATGTATGTTATCTAGAGTATCTGCGTTAGCCATATCGGTCAAACAAACAACGCTGGCCGGAACAACGATGCTCACCTTGACTTGGTCTACCTTTGACAATATTATCCGGTCCATCTTCATCCACGGCGAACGAGAGGCTTTTTTGTGTATTTTTCAACATGTTCCTTCGTGCACTCATTCTTTTGTGCTGCTCTGTAACAAAATGAACAAAATAATCAAATAGAAAAACTCATGCAAGCCTATTTCATCACCCCTCGAGGCTAACTAATTACCTGTGTATTTAACTTCCTATCTATCCATCTATCTACCTATCTATTTATCTATCTATCTATCTATCTATCTATTTACCCATCCATTTATTTGTTTTTATCTATCTTTTCACCTGATTGTCTGTCCATCTGTCTGGCTTTGGGTCTATCTGTTTGTCTGCTCGATAGATTGGTTCGTCTGTGCATTTATCCAGAAACTAACATTGTACACTTTGAAAATATACGGGGGTATATTAAAAATGGTAAATGAGTAAACCGTGGACAACGTTTTTGGGTAGTTACATTTTTAACTAATTTCAATGGACAGCTGAAAGCATTATAACTATTAAAACAGTTTGAATGACTCTTATACAACCGGGAGTCATTTGCATTGTTGAGAAAATCTGGAAATAATAGCTGAACGCTTTTTTCTATATTTAGGGTACAATTTCCTCGCTCTTTCGATTGACGGGTTTCGGACAAAAGCCGTATTATGTAACATACGTTTTGGTCTCATCTTTGTCTTTCGGAAAATAGTAAAACTGATTTTCTACTTCATCGATTCTTTGTTCAGACCGGTGTGAATGTCTGATTTCACTTATTGTAGCTAAATATTCCATCAAGGTGAATCAGTTGTTTCCCATGAAGAGACGGGCCCCATTAGGATTATTCTAGTGAATGACTTCAGAAGTAAAAGCTACAGTGAATCAATATTTCATTACTGTGAATCTTCCTAACAACCCAGTGTTTGGGACATCTCTTTTCAACTTCAGTTTAAAATAACCGTAGCTTGGTTAACCCAGTTAACCCACTCCGTTGTTTCTTAGCCGAATAGGCAAGCATTATAACATTTCTTTATCTACAATGCATCTGGCGCCTGAACCAGAGCGGGTTTTGATAAGCAGCGGTAAATGTGAATGAACAAGGAGGTGTTGTTCATTTCACCATGGATACATGTGTGTCTCATTATGAAGAAGAATCGGTTTCGTGTTCCTTTTTTCTCTGCGCCCGAACCCAGCAAGTTCGACTGATGCGTGTGTCAGTGGGCTACACGCAGGTGAACCGAAGGATTGTTCTGGTGAACCAACATAACCCTCACTATTTCATCGGTTAGAGGAGAACGGTTTTCTGGGAAACAAGTTACCAAACAATTTCATGTATGTGCCAATCAGTTTTACCAATCTGCCAGAATTGTATTTTTGCTTCATTCATTAGTGTTATGAACCAGTTTGGTAAATAGGAGTCAGCCATCTCGAAATAACTAAATACATTTGATCTGTGTTGTTCGGTCGGGTGAATAAAACTTTTTTGCGACGGATTTATTTTCACAAAACAATGATCTACTTCCATTAATAAATAGCTCAGTGGCTTATTTGTTCATACTAATCAAAGAGAAAACGTCTGATCTAAGAAAAAGAAAAACCAACTCCTTCAATCGAACGCGTACTCCCAATGACCGCTATAATTCACATCGGTTATTCGGAAACTTATTTCCGATCCAAAATAAACACTATGGGCATGCAGATAGAACGCACGCTAGCTCCCATCCCGAAGAAATAATTTTCCAATATATACGTGTTCTTTTGTGACGGTTTCGAACAATAAAAGAATGGACAAAAATAGAATACTGCAAACTTGAGCGTTTCAGTGTCAGAGTTATTACGGCATACGCTTCACAAATCTGAGCTTACCAATGGAAACACGATTAAGCACATAGCTGTTATCAAATTCGTGCTAATTAAACGTAGACTGCTTTGACCACAACGTGCCACTTCCCTCCGAGACTGACATGAACTTTCGCATGACCGCACGGCCAAAACACGTGATGACAAGTGCACATTCTAATCGTTTTCCCAACCGTGTTAAGGATAGAGGAATATATGGCCTCTGTCAGCACTAGGGTGTGCAAATCGATACATACGGGTATTTGGTCAGTAAAGTTCGAATATTCATTGGGTTAAGAGACTGTCGTGGATTCGTGTGTGCTTCATCCGCGTGCCTGACTTAATCATTCCTCAGTCAATGGAGTTATAATGCATGAAAAACCGATTGCTGAGCGTTTACTACAGGCATAAGGAGTCAAGTGCTTTTGATCTGTTCTATCGGGGATTTTTTAATACTCACATAGTGCCCGGTAACCACAGTATAACATAAATTATTGTTTTATTCTGAGCGTGTTGTTCCTGCTAGGTGATCACCACACCGATACCGTGACCAGTGATGCATGATCTAATATCGCATTTGAACCCCAGCATGTTCCCGTTGATCTTTCAGTACACATTGTTTGAACGCCATGAACAGGAATCTGTTTGAAAGATTGGTAAACCAGTGATTCGGTTCACGGAAATTGTCTAAGTTGTTCAACCAAAACGAAAACTCTACCGGTCAACTGTTTATCCCATATACACTATTCCTCATCAAGGATGTGTTTATTCTTTACCTAAAAGCTGTAAATTGTTGTAATGATCTGAGGCAAATAAGTATTTGGAAACATTGTAAAACCAAATTTTATGAATTACTCCGTGTCGTCAAACATCCTTTGTTTGAACGTAGTTATCGTTTTCAAAACCCAAATATCTGATGCAACAATCATGTACATGATAGATTTACCAGCGCATAGGCATGTGTGATTTGCTAATGAGTTTGAGGCTCCAGCTTAACATGAACCTTTATGAAAGTAAACCGATATCCCGTATCCCATATCCAAACCGGGTTGGTAAAAATTATCCGGTCGATACAGTATGCAAACAAACTAATCCTTCTCAAAAACCGGACAAGTGTGATCTTATCTTGAATGACATTTGCTACCGAAAACGACATCGGGCAATTGCATTTAGCCGAAACGGACTAAAAGCTTTCAACGTGGTACGAGGGGAGACATGTCCGAAAAAATTGCGTGGTTTGCTGCATAGCCGTACCCACATTTGCAGGCCCTTATTGTTTACCGCCATTTTTTTTCAAATCAGAATACAATGTACATACCTGAATAATACCACGGGCATTACCGCACTCCACTGATCCTAAAATGTATAAAACTTACCGTAAGCTAGTTGTGCCTCTCTAGATTTCTCGTCCTCCGCGCTTCCTTCCAGGATTCCTTCTCCCATTTCCAACAAGACGGGTGCGTCTTTGGCTCCCGCATCCGTATACGCATTAGGGCTTATTGCTCTTGCGGGAGAGTAGGCAGGGGCATTTGCACTCACAGGTTCGTCCAGTTGAGATCTCAAATCGCGACGCTGATCGGTCTCAGGGGCTGCTAAAAGCGAACCGTGGTAAGGCGATCGAAATGTGACATTGGACAGTTTTTTCCCTGTAGCACCAGTACTGGCATAGGGACTGAATCGGGTTGAGGATTCTGCACCATAGCTAGTTCGGGAAACTGTATAAAATCCGGAAAAGTTTGCACTTGCCATTAGGAATTACTCCATAATGTTTTCAATGAATACTGATAAAGATAGGTTTTGTGTAATTGAAATCGGTTCAAGGTGTCAAACATTTTGCCTCTAAGCAATGCACAATATGCTCTTTGGAAAATCTCAAAATAGTGGTTTGAGATAATTCAAACAGTTGTGGACGGCAAACATTTATCATTCACAAATTCTAGAAAATGATGCTTTTCATGGGGTACATAGATTTGACATGTAGCATTGCAAGTATTAAGTTACAGTTAAATTAATGAAACTCACGAGTACAACGCTTGCGATTATTTTATAACAGTGGAGACAAAACGGACCAAAGAATGGTATTCTGAACACGTGGTATTGGTCAACATATTTTCCTGGTGACTTTTCTTTTTTCACCGATAATTGAAATCACATTTGCTGAAGCGAGGAAACAAATGAGATGTTGCCCTTCTTTTACTGGCTTGAACAGTTAGCCACTAATTTGATCAATCAGGAATCAGTTTGGATACTCACTGGTGTGTGTAACCTTTTTGGAAACATGTGTGCCTTACACCTGCTTCACCTAAACTGGTGATCCGCACAGAAGTGGGGTAAATGATCGTTATTTATGGAAGTTGGCGCATTTGTGCTATAGTCCTTTGTTAAAAGAGTTCAAGTTTCAAGAGCCGTACGCCGACTGATTCAGTGGATATCGGTAAACAGTGGGCAAAATTCTAGCTGTCCTGCTCCCTCAATTGTGTACTACCCCGGTAACCGAACAAAGCAGACTGATAAAATTTGTCCGGGTGTTGATATAGCTACGTAGCTTAGAAATAAAACAGATTTTCATTAGGATTTTGAAGAATTGATTTGTCCTAGACAATATACACCTATAGTTGTCAAATGCCAATGACCCCAGTGATAATGATGGAAATATCAAATTGGTTTTAAGACACATCAACACTTATTCTTCGCTATTGAAACGTAACTCCTCAAAACGGATTTCCGATTGCCTGATTGCCTCATCGAGAATAATTCTCTTGGAGTGGGGGGAGACAAGGTCTAAAACCTTTGTTTTCGCGAGAATTCGATTCAATAATGAACCCTAGACATTCTCAGATGTAGTTAAGCACTTGCTCCGAGCTACACAAGTGCAGATGTTTTGTCTTTTTAGGCGATCATGATCCTCGATCAATTTTCTGGAATCCTAGGGAGAAAAAGTCGTTCAAGCTTTTGACGTACAAGTCATCTGTCTGACTTTCATCGACCGTTACCATCCAGAACTTTCCATTCGTAATGTGAGTACCCCAGACTTCGACAAGACTTAGCCATCAGCAGAAGTTTAACATATTCTCAACAAGCTATGTCCGCCGCACATCGATCTCTCAGTACTGAAGCCATTGAACATTTTCTTGTTGCTAAATATCTAACCATCCAAACTTGGAAGTCCCGTTGACAGGAATTCTAAACCACGGAAGTCGGTCAATAATGTGACAAATAGTTGTTCAAATTGTTGTTCGGCAGATTTGAAGTTTGCATGTCGATTGTGAAAAGTTCAGTAGCCTCAGTGGGATTCGAACCCACGCATGGACGCCGCCTACGCTTTGTACATGCATGCTCTACCAGCTGAGCTACGAGGCCACATCGATAGCACTGATCTTTTCACATTCGAATTTACCCATCCAACTTACAGAGGCATGTGGCATCCGCCAGTTAGCATGTAAGCTGACTGCCCCGACAGGTTTTCCTTAGAATTCACCGGACTCTACCGAATGAGCTTCGAAGAAGCTACCGAACTTTTCACAATCGGCATACAAACTTAAAATCTGCCAAACAACTATTTGAAAAATCTGTAATTATCGGTAGTGATTTCATCTTAAAGAGTTTTAAATATGGCGCAGCTTGTTACACTTGATTTACACCCCGCGAACTCATTACGAAGTATAGTAATCAATGTAACTTCGATGTAGTTGATACCCGATTTAGATTGACAGGCAAGAGCTGTCCCGGAACCCAACAACAGATCTTTGTTCTGATTCTAGTCATACCACTGTAGATTGGCCATAGTTGAACAACGGTGATCGACGAATTCGTCCAGCAATCTTGTGGATTCGGACGACCTGGTTTCCACAGACAAGTACTGCTCCATGCTCTTGCTCCGATAACCTCGAACTGCGTGTCATTATGTTTTTCGATTATCTCATTCACGATCCATGACCTTGGTAATCAGTGTGCGACTTCGATGTTATTCATCTTTTGTATAAATTAGCATTGTCTGACAAGTCTGGGGGATAACTCAGACGTGACTCACACAACTTGTGTGGTAAGCTGCAAAGTGCACCTGAATGGTGGGTGTTTTCATTACTGTTGAGTTGTGGAAAAATGGGGTTGGGATAAACAGTATTTCATGAACTGCAACATTTATAATGTGATTTCAGTTTCATCCAAATGTCCTAGTTGCTAAAACCCTAGCTATACCCAACATTTACACTTCTGTTCATCCGATTATGAATCATTGTGGGTTTGTCCTTTGGTAAGTTTGGAAAATGGCTTTATCATTCGGGTGACAAAAATGGCATCAAATGTGTACTGTGTCCGGTCATTAAAGTGACATTATCTTCATCTGGATATTCGAAACAGTGGGGTCATTTGAACTTGCTCCACAGTTTGGTGCTTTGAACTTTGCCCCAGCAGAACATATTTTCCTTTACCTACTCAAATAGTGCTCTCCACGTTACACCACCGACAACAGGATTTTGTTAATGAGTAGGAACTTCTTGCAGCTGTTGTGATTACATTTAAGCAAACTATTGTGGCCTTCTTAGTTAGTAACCAAAATAAGAAGAAGCTAAATTAATTAATTACCATCTTTGTCATGGGAAAGAAAAGTATAGTTTTTTTCGTAATGTAAACAGTATATGTTTCATAAAACCGACTCACGTATTCGGTGCCAGATAAAGCGCATGCATCTAAATAACTATTTTTATTCTGCTCATTTCTTCATTTGTTTTACCCCTCTGTTTATGAGTCGGATGCCTTAGATTTGCGATCACGTATCTGACTTTACAGCCTAAAGTGGCAACGAATGTGAGCAGATGTACCCATGTTTTAAGCACAGGTTGAAGATCCTCCATCAAACCCAAATTTCGATAGTACGATGGCAACTACGCAACTTCTAAATTCAAATCGGTCCAGAAGACAGGAGATTTAATTGAAATAAATAGAACCCGATCCAAATTTCGCTACTTGCCCTCCAGCATAAACTTAACGGTTCCCAATCTGGTTCGTA